TGTTTAATCTAAAGCACAGAAATAAAACCTGTATGACAAGAAGGGAAAAAAAGATTTAAGTTATACACATGCACTGATCAAGTAAAATATGTTTATAATTATTGGTGTGTAAATGACTTTTTATGCAATTATAGGGATATTTTATGTCTTTTTCCCTTGATTGAATGATATAAGATGATAATGCATGTGCAACTTTTTGACCATGAGACTAAAAAGAAAATATAAAAAGATGACTTTAGTCTAAAGTAGTCTTGTGAATTGTCTTTTTATATTGTCCAATTCTCAATGTCTAATTATTTCTTCTTTAATTTCTAGTACCAATAATACTCCAATTCTCAATTCCTCCAAGCACTTCTCATACACAATTTTTTGAAATATATATATATATATTTTAAAAATTGATTGGTCAATTTTTTTCTTTAGAAAAATGAGCTTTAATTTATAAAATAAGGAAATGACTTTTCAAATGAAAGCAGGAGAAACAAGTTTCATAAGTGAAACGTCCTTAAACTATGTGAAATGAACAAAAATAGCATCCGTTTATAATTTGGTCCAAAAATACCCTTGCCTCATTACTTTCGTCCATAAACGCCCTTACTGTTATTTAAAGGGTCAAAAATGCCCTTCCAACTAAATATATTATTTATTTTCTTCTTAACACATATTTTTTCTAATAATATTTTTAAAATTAGTGAATGTTTATCCTACTTCAATTTTTTTTAAAAAAAATTCTTATTTTATTATAATTATTTTTTATCGTTATATAAATGAAAATTAAAGATGGATATACTATGATGTTATATATGTGACAAAAATTGATGGCAGGGACATTTTTGAGCCAAACTATAAATAAAGGATATTTTTATTTATTTCACATAGTTTAAGAACATTTTGACCCTTTTCCGAAAAATATATTTTTAAGAGGCAAAGGACCAAATAGGAACCCCACCTAGTGAGACATTATTAGTGAGCTTATCTTTAACACCTTTACAACTCTCAACTGGAAAAGAAAAGATTCTAATTACACCTTTGATTTTCCTTCATTCTTAGTTTGATGTAAATTGTTTCTCTTGAGAAGTTGAAAGGAAGGGTTTTTTTTTTCCCAACTACTTGGGCTTGATTAGTGAGAATGGAAAGAGGAAAAGAAAATGAAGGGCAAACAAAAGGGGAAGATAACAAATCATTGGTATGTCATACAAAATTTAATTATTTTTTCCATTCACATAATTAATATTTCTTGTAAGTATGTTTGTTGCTTTGTGTAACTTAGATGGTGAATATAATCTTTATAACCTATAAGAATTGATGATTTAATCTTTCTGGTATAAGTTAAACTTTATGTACTAAATCATCTGCTATAGTTGATAAATGTAAGGGCAAGAATATAATCAAACCTTGTATTAGATCATGAATCGGGCCTTGGTGGCCTAAGTACAACATGTTCGGAATGGCTTAAGAATAGGGGTGACAAATGGACGGGTTGGGTAAAATTTGGGCGGGTTGAAAATGGGTCAACATAAAATGGGTAATAATTCAACCCGCCATATTTGATATGGGTAAAAATGGATTGGGTAAGAAATGGGTTGGGTAAAATACTAGTTTACCCATATTTACCCATATTTTCATGAGTAAATAGTACGCTACTTTAGAATTCAACGTGGAGAAAATATTTTAGTCTTTTTTTAGATGAAAAATGTTGAAAATGTTTCATTTAGTTTTATTGTATCATAAAAGTAAAAAAAAATCCTATAAATTTTTCAATATAAAATAAAAATTATGTAATAACAAGGGGAAAACATTTTTAATTTCAAAGTAAATGAATATTTGCATTTTAAGACTAAAACATGCTTAATGCACTTTAAGCAATGTCAATACTAATACATGATTTGCTTATTTTACACTATGTATTTATTATCCAATATAACATTAAACAAATAAAAAAATATAATTATAAGTAACAAAAGAAATGTACATTTAAAATATATATTTTTGAAGGGCCAAAGATTTCAACTTTTCTAATTATAGTGAAAAATAATTAGTTCTATCGAAGAGAACATAAAAAGCAAGAGAAAGTCCTCTGCACTTGTAACAGTTGCTTGTTGTAATGTAAGAGTAAAAATTAGAGTCAACAATCAAAACATGCCTGAGCTATCACGTTTTGGCGAGTTTCACAACTCAACTATATCAGTCGTTCCCTTTTTCTATCTAAATTATCACCATTTGGTATTTTGGCAGGTGTCATCCCGCCTTGTACTTGGCGAGGACATTGTCAATCTTCAAGATTTCATAGAGAGGTTAAATAGGAGGCGTGTTCAATCTTCTTTTGACATGTATCGAATTAAAGAGTTGACATTGGAGCTGACGTTTGTGTCCGCATTTAGTCATCTTTATTACTCTTTCTTTTTGGAAAGCTGTAATGACGAAATGTCCTGCATATCAAATGAGATTCATGATTTGGCTCAGACATTAATTACTCTAGAATTCCCAACAGCCCAAGTATATGTAAATGGTATAACAATTGAATCAAGTGAGTCACTGTTTCATTCAAGTGGAGAAGACATGCTGGTTAATAAAAAGGTTTATGACCTATTGGTGAATATCAGAAGTTATTTCAGCTCACATAGCTATGTAACAACCATGACCGAGGATCGTTTCGCTGAACTTTTAGATGTCATCCTCATGTATCTCCAATGTCAACTCAAGTGTTGTTCTGAATTTTTTTTCCCATCAATGACTCAATATGAGCTTCTTCATAATGTAATTGGCAATTTAAGAGATTTCCATAGGTTGAAAGTAAATGGTTGCGTTGAGTATGAGACAATCGAATATGTCTTACCTCATCTTCAACTTATGGCTCTGAGAGTAGTAAACTTCTGCTGTTTTACTCTTGTGGATGAATCAGCTGTCTCTCTAGTTGACTCCAAGCTAGCTAATCTACTTGTGGAGGTTATTCCTGTTGAACTGGAGGTTATGCACATATGTTGTACAAATTTGAAAGGTTCAAAGTCGGAAGAAGTTGAACGTTTCATCAAGCAGCTCGTAGAAGCCTCTCCAAACATTCTTAGAGAATCTCTGATTCATCTACAAGAGCACATGGTTAATTGGCTTACTCCTAGCACTTCTACGTGTAACATTCATGTCATGATAGAGTTCCTATTGATTATTCTTACTGATGTACTCAAGGACGTTATTCGTCATGACAAATTGTTTGTTCTCTTGGCACGTGTTAGAGAACTTACCAAGGAGGTATTCGTTCTTGTTCGCAACTTAGAAGAGAATATGAATGAAGCAAGTGATGCAAATCTAAACTTGCTGGAAAATATTGAACTCCTCAAGGAAGATCTCAAGAATGATTTCTTAAAAGCCCGTGCAGACTCGTCTCAGCTCTGCTTCCCCATGAGTGATGGACCGCTCTTCATGACTCTTCTACTCACAAACTTGAATGACTTGGCCAATTCCAATGCTTCTTCAGTTGCTTTGATAAAAGAAGAAATTAAGCAGGTGAAAGAAGACCTGGAAATCATAAGATCGTTGTTCGGGTATGTTGAGCAAGAGTTGCATAGAGATCTTTGGACTCGTGTTCTAGATGTGGCATATGAGGCGGAACATGCCATTAACTCAATTCTTGCACGAGATCATGGTCTATTGCAGCTTATCTTCATACTTCCTGACACTGTAGAAAAGATCAAACTTGTCAAAAGAGAGGTACAAGAGAAGCTCCCCAAGAGCAGCGGTATTATTGTTGCAAATGCTCCCAACAAGCCGGTTGAAAGAAACTCATCGAGTACAGTTGGTAAAAATAATTGTAGGTTTTTGAGGAGGAGACAGAGTGGATAATTAGGAAGCTCACCAGCGGACCAGCTGAGATAGATGTCATTTCCATAGTCGGCATGCCAGGGATTGGAAAAACTCTTTGGCATACAGAGTGTATAATGATAAGTCCATTGTTGATCATTTCGATGTTTGTGCTTGGTGCACAGTCGACCAGGAACGTAATGAGAAAAAGTTGTTGCAGAAAATTTTCAATCAAGTTATTGGTTTAAAAGAACGATTCAATGAGGATCATGACATAGATGATGACGTTGCTGATATGCTGCGGAAACAACTATTTGGAAAACGGTACCTTATTGTCTTGGATGACATGTGGGATACTGCAACATTGGATGAGCTAACAAGACCTTTTCCTGAATTACGGAAAGGAAGCAGAGTGATTTTAACAAGTCGAAAAAAGGAAGTGGCTTTGCATGGAAAATGCCACAGTGATCCTCTTTATCTTCGATTGCTAAGATCAGAAGAAAGTTGGGAGTTATTTGAGAAAAGGGTATTCGGAGAAGAATGTTGCCCTGATGAACTAAAGGATGTTGGAGAAATGATAGCCCAAAAGTGTGCTGGGCTTCCTTTGGTACTTGATCTAATCGGTGGAGTCATTTCAAAGAAGGAAAAGAAAGAGGCTTTGTGGCTTGAAGTTCTGAATAATTTGAGTTCCTTTATTTTTAAGGATGAAGAGGAAGTGGTGAAGGTTATACAATTAAGTTATGACCATTTGTCAGATCACGTAAAGCCGTGTTTGGTTTGCCTTGCAAGTTATCCAAAGGACGAAAATTTAAGGATCTCTGAGTTGAAAGATTTTTGGATTTCTCAAGGACTTGTGGAGGAGATTGAGATGAAAAGTGCAGAAGAAGTAGTGGATGAGTTAATTTCCAGTAGTTTGGTAATACCTTTCGATAATTCTTTTTGCAAAATTCATGATCTTGTGCATGACTTTTGTTATATAAAATCTAGAAAGGAAAAGGTGTTTGACTTCATAGGAGGTTCAAACGCTCCGTCTTCTTCTTCTGGTATGATGGCACGAGGAATTACCATTCGACGTCTCTTTCATTTGGATGAAAATTTTGTCCTGTTTAATCGAGAAAAGAAGAATCCTTATGTTAAACACCTCCTCTCTCTGAAGGTGTATCATGGGATTAAGGATAGTTTTTCCTCTATCATTCACCTATCACTCGATGGGATCATGCATGATACTATCGCCTTGTTTATGGAGTCTTGCAAAGCTACGAGATGTACGGATGAATGGGGGTGCTCTCTTTGATCCGGACATCACTGTGTTAGACGAGGACTCAAGGTTAGAAAATTTGAGAACATTACCTGAGCTCCACTTTCCCGCGGGTTTAGAAGACATAGAGGTTATTATTTTCAAAAGGTTTCCTAAGCTTCAAAACCTTGAAGTCTGTATCAGACAACTACCAGATTGTTCAGCAGAGAAGATTTGTTTTCCAAGATTGGATGTCCTTAACGAACTTGAACAACTCCGTTTATCTGCTTATTATAGGGATTCATTCCCTGAATATACACACGGCTTCCCTTTGAGCTTGAAGACTCTGACGTTGCAATGGCTCACTCTGACATCTGATTCATTGTCAAGAATTGGTAGACTACCCAACCTTCAAAAATTAAGACTACAACACGTAATCATCGAGGCGGGGAAAGAATGGAACATGGAAGATGTCACTTTCCAGAATCTCAAATCTCTAAAATTGGATTGTGTGAGATTTTCTGAATGGCAGGTTGATGCAGAGAATTCCTTTCCCGTGCTCGAGAAACTATGTATACGTGATTGTAATAAGCTTATGGAGATCCCAGAGAGTTTTGGAGATATTGCGTCATTGGAGCTTATCAAAGTATGGGAATGCCGTCAGCTTAGAGAGTCGACTTTCAATATTAAGAAATATGTTGAAGAAATGACTGGAGAAGACAAGCTTGAGGTAGACTTCTTTGGTTGAGGTATGCTTCATTAACAGATTAACTTATTACTTTTAAAAATGTTATGTGTTTTCCAATATTAGTTTTAACTTATACAATATATGTTCTTTGCAGATCAGAACAGATCGAGCTAGCGCATACAAATTCTCAAGACATGTATGCCTTCTTCCAACATTAATAACTGTTTATCAAGTATAAACAGTGCTAGCTATAAGCACTTGTATTCTTTATTATAACGGATGATATATTGTATGCGTGCTTGCTTTTCATTACTATGTATTAGTTGTAATCTACAAACCATTATTTAGCCCGCCCATCTTGACTTAGGACATGATTGAACAACGACCCATTGATTCAGTCCATTCTAATCCATCCAAATTTTGTCCAAACCGTTCATCTGTCACCTCTAGACATGACTAATAATGTTTTTCAAAGAAGTGTAAGTTCCATATATGGCAACTGAAGAACCAAAAACCAAAATCATCCCAATAAACACAACTTCCAAATATGAAGGCTTCTTGATCTTGAGGTAGCATAGGCATGGTAACAATATCGACACGGTAACGCCCAAAAGAGTGCCCGTAAATGTCATGACATATCCAAAGAATGGAACGGTTAACGCCACAATGACAGTGTTGATGACTAAAAATGTTCTGATGAAGTAGCTTACGATAAATTTACTCTTTCGTAAAGGTAATTTATCTTCAATAGCCGTTGCAATTGGAGAGACAACAAGAGCATACTTTTATATAATTTTTAGGGAAAATGCACAAGTACCCCCCAGCCTATGCCCAAAATCCCTGAGACACACCTAACCTTTACTAAGGTCCTATTAGAGATATTGTATGCGTGCTTGCTTTTCATTACTATGTATTAGTTGTAATCTACAAACCATTATTTAGCCCGCCCATCTTGACTTAGGACATGATTGAACAACGACCCATTGATTCAGTCCATTCTAATCCATCCAAATTTTGTCCAAACCGTTCATCTGTCACCTCTAGACATGACTAATAATGTTTTTCAAAGAAGTGTAAGTTCCATATATGGCAACTGAAGAACCAAAAACCAAAATCATCCCAATAAACACAACTTCCAAATATGAAGGCTTCTTGATCTTGAGGTAGCATAGGCATGGTAACAATATCGACACGGTAACGCCCAAAAGAGTGCCCGTAAATGTCATGACATATCCAAAGAATGGAACGGTTAACGCCACAATGACAGTGTTGATGACTAAAAATGTTCTGATGAAGTAGCTTACGATAAATTTACTCTTTCGTAAAGGTAATTTATCTTCAATAGCCGTTGCAATTGGAGAGACAACAAGAGCATACTTTTATATAATTTTTAGGGAAAATGCACAAGTACCCCCCAGCCTATGCCCAAAATCCCTGAGACACACCTAACCTTTACTAAGGTCCTATTAACCCCCCGAACTTATTTTATATATAATTTTCCACCCCTTTTCGGCCTACGTGGCACTATTTTGTGGGCCCTGCGTGTGTTGACAATTTTTTCAAGGATAGTGCCACGTAGGCCGAAAAGGGGTAGAAAATTAATTAAAAAATAAGTTGGGGGTAATAGGACCTTAGTAAAGGTTAGGTGTGTCTTAGGGATTTGGGGCATAGGCTGGGGGGTACTTATACATTTTCCCATAATAAAACTAATATATATTTAATTATTTTTATTTCTTTCTTTGTAAAATATTTATTTTAATTTTTTAATTTGTCGTCCCAAAAGAGACATCATCAATTTTTCTATAACAGAAAAATAACATAACTTTGAATTTCCTTTTACGCCCTTCATGAAATGATATACAACCACAACTTTCAAAAAAATTATTTCCTTCTTTCTTAAGATTTATGCCTAGTCAAAAAGTAGGCATTATACATAAATATGTCATTTAACTTGGCTTCAAATCACATTTATGCCCTTCAACTTTCAGTGTGCACAAATAGACACTTAAATTTGTATAAATTTGAACAAATAGACACGCATGTCCTACACGGCATCCTACATGACATTTTTTTTATCCTACGTGGTATCTTACATGTATAATGCCATGTAGGACTCATGTGTCTACTTATTCAACTTTATACAAGTTTAAGTGCGTACTTGTGCATACCCAAAGTTGAAGGACATAAACGTAAAATGAGGCCAAGTTAAAGGGCACATTTATGTATTATGCCCAAAAAGTACCACGTAAACTGAAACTAAAGTAATACATGTTTATCAATAAGATATTATCACCTTGGGAAATTGGCTCCTATCCTTCATGGAATTGCATATTGTTGGGAAAACAGCATGACCACAATAACAAAATGTATACATACTTATTGCACTTATCAATCCATCCCACGACCACAATATCAAAATGTATACATACTTATTGCACTTATCAATCCATCCCATCTCCAAATCACACCTTTTTCTCCAAATCCAATACCATCAATTGCACCAACCCAAAATATTGAAAAACCAAAACAATTGAAGCCAAAACTCCACCAATAGAAATATAAGCCAATAAGCCTAAACTTTTCAACCATGTTGTTGGCAACATTACAATAGCAACTAATAAAACAAATACTTCCCTTCCAACAATTTTAACACAACCAACATGAACTTTTGCATTTGGGAATAGTTTATGCAAATTGTCGCCTTCTAATATGAGGAACTCAATTGCAACAAAGTATAGTTCAAGATATAAGGAAATTGATATCAAGATTCTTCCTTTGTTACCAAAAGCAAATTCACCAATATCAGGATATGTATTGATTGATGATGAAACACTCATGTATTTTTGCAAAAGTATTCCTGTGTAACAACATATAATTGCTACCAAAAAAAGTAGCATCAAACATATATAACCATCCTGGTGAAAGTGCATAGGGTACTGATATTATTCTAATACCTATATGAAAGAAGACAAAAAAGAGTTCAAGTTTTTATGTAACGAGTTAGTGAATATTTATACAGTCAGATCATTTATAAGGTGACTACAGATAAATTAATTTATCTGTGTGATATACTCATAGGTAAGATGATAGAAATAATAATAAGTAACATAATTAAAATGTTTACTCTATAGGTGCATATAACTTCAATTAAATTATACAACAACATATCCAACTACAAGTAGGGTGTAACATCCGACAATTTGAAATAGCTAAGAAGAGGCTTAGAATTTGAAAATTTTCATTTTTGGAAAGGATTTAAAAATCTGGAAATTTGGCTAAGTATGGAAATCAGTGATTTTTGGCCAACTTTGACCAGTCATAAATTCCAGCTCAGGATGAGTTAGAAGTAGTTCCAGTTATGGTTGTGAAGCTTGTGGAATGATCTTTCCAACGCCGCCGAGTTTGCTCAATTCCGAGTTCGTATGAGCGAGTTATGGCCCTTTGAAAGTTGGGCAGTTGACAAGGAAATCCGTCCGGGAATCATTAAGGGCATTTTGGTCCTTTCCCCCACACACCTAGCCCTTTTATTTATTGAGGAAGAATTGGATTCGTTGTTGAAGTTGTTGGAATTGTTGTCAAGGTTGTTAGTTGTTGAAGTTGATAGTTGTA